TTGTATTTGTGGAAGCAGTGATAAACTGTGTCCACATGCAGTGATTTCGGCTACATAATTGTGTCTGTTTTTAACGCAGTGCTGCCTGAGGGCCTGAAGATCATGGCCATCCAATATTGTTTTATTTATTTATTTATTTTTTGGTTTTGTTCTCTGCATGCAAATATTTCTCCAGATTCTATTAAGCTTTTAATGATATTATGTACTGTAGATAATGAACTCCCCTGTTTTATGTTGAAAACGTTACTTTTGAATTATTACACTCCCCATTTTAACCTCTTAATGACTCAGTATTTCTGAGATGTTTTTCTCAGGCCTAATTATGTTACCTGTTGCTAATTTACCTAATTAGTTGTGAATTTCATATTTTTTTTTTTTTTCTCATTACACAATTTACTATTTTTTGTTGCCCTATGCCAACTTTTTTGAAACGTTGGTGTCCAATTCAAAATGGGCATATGTTTTTCAAAAAACAATAAAATTTCTCAGTTTCAAAATGTGATGTTATCTTGTACTATTTACAATTAAATATCAGGTTTAAACAAGTGAACCTCTAGCTCAGAGGTCACTAATAGGTTTACCGCGATCCGAGTCCTGGACCTATAACTGACAAAATATGGAGATTTATTTAATTTCGACAGGCTGGTTCTATTTTAATCACCGTAACTTTTCTAGACTTTATGGTACCGCTTTAGCGGCCTGGGAGACTCGCAGACCAATCGCATGCAGTGTACATATCACACGTGATGCTACTCAGCCAATCAGATCTGTGCATTACGATGAGCACTGAGACTTGAGCGAGTGACGCACACACAGGGAAGGGATGAGGCGAGACACAGCAGTCAGAGAAGAAAGTGAGTCAGAGGGAAGTTATTTCACATGCTGTGCTCTAAAAGAGAAAACTGACAATAAATGTTGTTGAAATATGACTGAATTGTATTTTATTTGATTTGACATTCTGTTGTTGACTGTATGAGATGTTGATATACCTAATAGGCTACTTCAGTAAACAGTATATGGCACTGAGGCATAATGCAAGTTAGACATTATGATGTTCCGGACCTTTGCTTGAGGAAATTTTCCTTAACTAAGCTTATTCAATTTTAATTAAATACCTCTGCTTTAGATATCGAGAGGCAGGTTGTTATCGGAGTAATGTTCCAGCTTCTTGAGGGATCACTGGGAGACTTTGACTGACCAACAATCCCAGTTCTCATCCCTGCTATTGACTGAAGCTACTGTGCACTGTTATACACATTTTTGTGTATGTAGTATAAAAATGTTGCTACTTTTTGAGAGATCTTTTTGTATTTGGGGCTGGTACTCAGAAGATATTTTCAGCAGTGAATTGTTTGAAGGTTTGCGATAATTATGCTTTATGTTTTGTCTAAGACAGTTTTCCAAACTCACAGCCAAATTAAAAGTGGACACGCATTGTCTAAACTGTGTAGTGCAGGGATTCCTCAGAAAACATACTGAGAACCACTGAATTAGAATCACAGTTTTTGTTCGGTTCTTTGTATTTCACATTGAGTTTTGTTTTTCTTTTTTTTTTTCTCCAGAAATGACATTCTGGTGCAAGTCGTCTTCTGCTCTACGTGTCCATCTTCCTATACAGTTTACATTTACCCTCACAAACACATCAGATGCCACAAATGGAGTACGCTGCAGATCTGTCAGAAGAGATTAAATGTGAGAATACGGAATCTATAATCAGCTCTGGTTCTCAGTCAACATTTAGTACATCTCAAACGGAGACAAATGAAAGCAATGAGGGAATTCACCACTGCTCTGACTGTGGAAAGAGGTTTAATGAACAGCGTGATCTCCAACGACACCAGTGTATTCACACAGGAGAGAAACCGTTTCGCTGCTCAGATTGCGGGAGAAGTTTTATTCTACAGCGTAATCTACAGAAACACTGTTGTATTATTATAGAAATCGAACCCTTTTCCAGAGTAAGAAATAATCTCAAAAAACACCAGAACAGGGAGAAGCGGCTGTACTGCTGCTCTGAGTGTGGGAAGAGTTTTACTAAACACTGTAATCTCAAATCCCATTGGCGCGTTCATACAGGAGAGAAACCCTATCGGTGCTCAGAGTGTGGGAAGAGTTTTACTCGTCAAGGGAGTCTCCAAGCACATCAGCGGATTCATACAGGAGAGAAGCCGTATCAGTGTTCAGAGTGCGGGAAGAGTTTTAATCGTCAAAACAGACTTCAAACACACCAGCGCATTCACACAGGAGCGAAACCATGCTACTGCCCAGAGTGTGGGAAGAGCTTTAGAGATCCAAGTACTCTCAAAACACACCAGCGCATTCACACAGGAGAGAAGCCATATCGCTGCTCAGAGTGTGGGAAGAGTTTTAATCAACAGAGTAATCTCCAAATACACCAGCGCATTCACACAGGAGAGAAACCACATTACTGCTCAGAGTGTGGAAAGAGCTACAGACACTCTTGTTCATTACAGAGACACAAATGCATTAAGACAGAGGCAGAAACCTAAGATGTTTGTGTTTCAACTTAGTAAACAATTTCTGTTCATTTAGGCGAGTGATGTAAACTGTGATTTCTATGCCTAAATGAAAGTGATTGTGTGATTTAGCATGTATGTGATTGTAATAATTATACCTAAATGGCTGTACGTTTTAGTTCTGCATTTGTAGTTATGTGCGATTTCTGAATTTAGTATAAAACAGAGGCGCAGTACCTCCAAAGTGATGGTGGGGGTGAATTTGATGGATTTCAGCCTGTTAATCTCGTATCAAGTCAGGAATGACTGTGTAAAATATTTAATAGTTAGTCTACTTAGTGTGTTAATGAATAAACCACTTTGTTCCATTTTCCTGGGTTTGACCATTTTCTCCCTTCCCTTCGGGCCTGGCAGATCTGAGAGATAATGAAGCCAAATGTCTAGAAATGCTGTGTTTTATTCTTTTCAAAGAACAGTGACCCTGAGGTCACTGAGGCATCATCTTGGGGCATCACTGTGGGGCATCAGATCTGTACACAGATGGAGAAACATGGCTAAAGCCATTAGCAGAGCCTTAGACTTTTTCATTTAGAAAAATGAAAATAAAAAAGGGGGTTCTTCGAGGGTTCTTGAGTAAACATAGTTGTTCTTTATGAAACCATGAACACTCAAAGAGCCATTTGCAATGCTTAAACAGTTCTTTGCATGATGAAATGGTTATTCAGATTGATGGAGATGTGTTATATATGGTTCTATATAGAACTTTTTCGAAAAGGGTTCTTAACAATAGAAGAATCCTTTTGGTACCACATAGAACCCTTTTCCAAAAAATGTGTGTAAATACATAAAACAACAAAATATATAACACAATTTCCATCAGTCTGAAGAACGATTTCAGCATGCAAAGAATGATTTAGGCATGCAAATGTTTCTTTGAGTGTTCATGGTTCTTTGTAGAACCGTTGTCATGACTGAAGAACCCCTGAAGAACCATCTCTTTTTAAGAGTAACAGCTAGCAGAAAGCGGTTGAGAGTAAAGGTTGAAATGGAGATAAACCAGCTTTAACCAATATATATCTTTTGCAGTGTTATGAAATGTGTTAATGAAATATTTTTGTTCCCCATTTTTCTACTGTTTTGATGTTTCTAAATCATCAATTACTGTAATTATCAAACTTCACTGAATAAATCTGATGCATTTTGGAATCAAGGACTGACATTTGTCAATAAAGATATGACAGGGTTTTAGAGGGAATGCATAGTTCGGTAAACTAGCTAACATTAGATAGTTAAATAGTTTGTCTTTTTTTTGCAACTGTGAACGACAAACAACATTCTGTTTACTGAGGAGCAGCTCCTCCATTTGGTTTTTAGTTCATTTTAATTGGCCAATGCATACTTGCAACAAGATACAATGTTATAGCTGCATGTCTGTCTGATTTCAACTTTGTTTTCACTACACTACCCTAAATCCATTCACCAGTCGGAGTTAACACTGTTACCATGGAAATCTTAACTGAGTGGTTTGGCATTAGAAAGCCTGAAGTGTTCACTATCAGCTACCAGCATCCACCACAATTTCTCTATAAGATATGATGTGTGTTTTTTTTTAAGTATGAGGGGAAGTTTGTTCAAAGGGGTGAAAATCATTAATTCAGGCCATGAAACAGTCTGTAGTTTTTCTAGGGGCAGCTTGTCGACTCAGTCAGGGCCAAAATAGAAGACAACCGCAAACTGGACCACGTTTGCAAAAGTAAAACTAGCCCGAGTATACAACTGATTAAACAGGCCTTTACAAAAGCTAGTAAACGACTCTCACTTTATTCATGCACTCATCAGACAAACTAATGAACAAACTTGCTCTGTTTTTCCAGAACGTGACATCAGACGGGAGCTTTTTATGTAAATAATAATAAATAATGAGATATACTTGAACTAAATTTATAAATACTTATGGAGCTGTTATTGTATTGATATGTGTCTCGCCACAAGCTCATCTGTGATATATTGCTATATTGATGTTTGGAGCACACCCTACTTATGGCCTGGTGGTTCACTCTATCTTGGAAGATGATTGTTCTTGATATCTTACTCGCTCTCCAAACGTGCATGGGAGAGTGAGTTTGGCATGTAATGTCTGCACATGCCACCAGGATGTGTTTAGGTGACTAGTGCTTGTTGAGGTGATTTTAAAGCACATCATTTACTGTCCTTTATATTATATTATAATATACTGTCCTATATTACATTTTATTAGTACACTGTTTCAGATGACTTCGTTTACCCTGCAGCTAATCTGTTTTCTCACGCTGTACTTGCAGTATCTGCCAAATAGACTTTGCACACGGCAATAAGAATGGAAAAAAAAACTTGCACGTGTGCTCAGGGTCTGGCTTCTACCATTAATCCATTACCAAAGCATTTGCTATATAATGTTACGTTTTTCTGAATTTACCTACCATGTGTTCTTATTGGTAATTATGTTCTTGAACTTTTACTTAACAATACTTTTTTTATTTATAGGTTACATCAAGTCACCCTGCAGCACGCTTCTGGGATTGTTGTGGATCCGTCTGTCCTCCAGAAAGTGATTCCTGTAGACACTCCTGGTGAGTATGCACACTCTTAACAGTGTACCATACATATTTTTAAATATGTCTTTAGAGCTCCTGTGTCCTTATACAGGCTGTACAAATCACTTTATCCAGTCTTTGGGTGTGGTGCTCTGTGTTGGTGATGGGATGAGTCTCCCTTTTCTTTATCACAGATGAGTTTTGTGATGTCTGTCTTCCAGTGGCGTAAGATTAAATCTTTGTTTCCTTTTGATTTGGGTCTACTGCATACACAGGGATGTACAAGAAATTAAAATACAAAATATGTTCAAAAGATATAAAGCACCTAAAACTAATGTTCAAAGATATTGCCAGTATTTGCCAGTAACGTGTTAAAATGAAAACGTGTAACATACTACGAAAGTAATATTTAATGACTATGCTATCATACTGTGAAAATGTGAAACCATGAAGGTGGCCATGTCAGTTGGGGCACAGATTGTTGTTTCTCCAGCAATTAAGATTAAAGAAAACATATTATGATTATCTCTCTCGTGTGTTTTACACCGATAACATTAAAACCACCTTGTTTCTACACTCAGTGTCCATTTTATCAGCTCCACTTACTATATAGGAGCACTTTGTAGTTCTACAGTCACAGACTGTAGTCCATCTGTTTCTCTGCATACTTTGTTACCCTGTTCTTCAATGGTCAGGACCCCCCACAGGACCACCACCATAGACCACCACCATAGTATTTTTATTTTTACATAGATATTATTATTATTTATAATACTAAAAGGTATTAAGTGTATAAGTTACTTGTATACCTTATTACTATATTTTATAAGTATAAGGTATTATTATATCTTTATTAATGGTCTGATAGGGTTTAAAGTAGAGACACTCCCAATAATGAACCTTCTTTCAAAATCACTTAGATCTTTTCCTTTTGCTTGCTTTTGTCTTGAGCATGAAAGGGTGTTAATTGCTTAATTGTGTCATGCAGTTTATATGTACATTGTAGTGTGTAAGATGTGGGGTGTTAAAGTAAAGTAAAGCGGAGCACCAGTCAAAGACAGTGCAGCTGCCTTCCCACACTGTGATGCAGTCAGAATACCCTTGATGGCACAGTGGTAAAAGTTGACCAGGTTTTGAGGGAACAGATTAAGTCTCCTCTATTGCACTTTTTGGAACAGGTTGGAGGTATTGAGAGACTAAGAGAATATTCTTCAGCAAAGTTTACTGACTGTCTTGCACAACATCAAAACTGCCAGAAACCAAATACTTTTCTTATTTTACAGCTGACTGCTAGTAGGCACATGTGCACTAGAAAATGACTCCACGATCTCCCTTTCTTCTTATAAGAAAAGACAGAAAAAACAGGTTTTACATATGGGCACAACGATAAGGCCCCTGGGCAAACACCCATAAAACACACTGGATGGTCCAGGCTGGTCAGTGACCCACCACTTTCACTGGCTTTGTAAGCGATTATCTGTTGGCATCGTTTTGTGATGTTGCCTCCTACATTTTCACTTTCACTTTCAGTGTCAGCCTGCACTGGTTAAAAAGACATCATGGAAGATGTGGATATTGAGGGAATGACTGTCAGCATGCAGCTGGATACCGGAGCACCTGTGACCCTTGTGTCTGAGATGGTATATAAGGGAACTCTCACTTGCCTCTGGAAAATAACAAAACGCAGCTGTCTGCTTTTTCAGCTGAGAACATTCCCTTTCTAGGCCAACTCACAGTAACTTGACAACTGGTTAACTCACTTAAAGCTGAACTGGACAAGCAATTTTTTAATAGCCAGTGATGTAGTGGATGCGGATATACAGCGGCACAAAGCTGTGAGTTCAAACTGGGCATCATCTCAATCATCGAAATGGTCTGCACCTACAGTGGTTGTACAAAGGGAGATAAATCAAGTTGCATCTGTGGTGATTATAAGGTGACAGTGAACCAGAGTGCTGAGGACAAAACATACCCCATGCATAACATGGAGAATCTGTTTGCAACACTAACAGGTGGCGCCCTCTTTACGAAGCTGGATTAATCGCATACATACCAGCAGCTTGAGCTACAGAAAGATTCTGAAAAGTACTTGACTATTAATACTCATCATGGATTGTATGTATATTACTAGTTTTCTTATGGGGTGCCCACAGCTCCTGCTGTTTTCCCAGTGTCATGGATCAGATACTCCAGGGCCTTGAGAAGGTAACCTCCTTTCTGGATGACGTTCTGATGAATGCAAAAATGAGAGGAGAGAAGAAGCTAGAGAAGGTGCTGAGTCGGTTAGAGTGGTGTAGAGTGAGGGTGAAGAGAGCCAAATGCCAATTTATTCAAGATAAAGTAGTACCTTGGGCATCTGATAGAAAGAGAGAGGCTTCACCCTACTGGGACACAAGTTGCAGCCATTGTGAATGTGCCCAGGCCATCCAATGTTACTGAGCTATGCTCATTTTGGAACTGACTTGTTGCAGCGGTGGCATCGTATTACAGTACCACTTTCGAATTTAGCTCTTTTGAATGACCCATTTTTTCACAAATGTTTGCAAAAGTAGACTGCGTGGCTAGGTGGTTGATTTTATACACCTGTGGCAATGGGACTGAATGAAACACCTGAATTCAGTGATTAAGATGTGTGTCTCAATACTTTCGTCCATATAGTGTAGCTCAGAGCACCCGAAAGGATACAGTTATCTGCAAAGTCATGGAGTTTTCCTTGAGAGGGTGGCCAAATTACCTACAAGATGAAACTCTGTAGCTCTTTTTCAACCGACACTTGGAACCATCTGTAGAACAAGGATGTATTCTGTGGGGGCTCAGAGTCATTATACCTCCAACACAGCAGCAAAGACTTTTGAATGTCCTAAACCAAGGGCACCTGGGCATTTGTAGGATGGAGTTCTTAGCTATGTGGTGGCTAAATCTAGACAGTGACATTGAGAAAGCAGTACAGCACTGTAACTCTTGTCAAGCAGTAAGAAAACTGCCAGCACTGGCACCACTGCACTGCTGACCATGGCCAACTCGTGCATGGCAGAGAATACACATACATTTTGCTGAGAAAAATGGACAGTACTTCTTAGTACTGGTGGATAGCCATTCTAACTGGACATTATCCGTATGACCACTACCATGGCAGCCAAGACAGCAAAGCTGTTGTGGAAAATCTTTGCTGCTTATGGACTTCCAGAAGAGACTGTATCTGATAACAGACTACAGTTTATGTTCAGAAATTCAGAAAGTGTGGAAGTTCAGAAATTTTCTGCAAAATAATGATATTAATTAGACTTTCCTGCCTGCTTACCACCCTGCATCCAATGGTGCTGCCAAAAAGTCAGTGCAAACAGTGAAATCAGCATTGTTGAAGTAAGTTCTGAGTGAAGAAGGACAAAATACTATGATAACAGTGCAACACAGGCTGGCAAATGTCCTGTGAATGTACAGGAGTAGCCCACACAGTGTTACTGCCTGTGCATCAGCCAAACTTTTTCAAAAACGTCAACTGAGAACTAGATTCAGTCTTCTGAAACCATCAAACCTTAAAATATGCGCATCACTACATCTCTAGTGTGTATGCATCTGTCCTGTGTTCATGGTGCGCAAGTATTAACATATGAACACGTGTTCTGGCACACCTTATTTTTGCTGTATCGAGACACTATTAAACTGAATACTGAATTTTGTTATTAGACCCATACACTTTTAGATGCAGCTGTTTTAGAGTGTTACACAAATTTTCATGTATTTTACAAAAGAAGTTGCTGCTTTTGCTCAGATATAGATTCAGGGAGCCCACAGGGGACTGTATACGATATTGCGATACTTAGGCCTCATCTTGGTCTGTAAAACCACTTTCACTCAACTGAGAAAAACAGATCAGATTTTTCTACATGTTTATTTTCATTACTAACTACACTTTGTAATGCGGGGTACCTCACAAAAGGATACCACTGATTTAGTTTGTTTGTTTTGAATATTGTACTAAATATTATATTTCTTTTCTTTCTCCAGAAACATATGACATCCTGGTGCAAGTTGTCTTCTGCACACATCAGTACTTTTACCTCTGCAAACACATCAGATGCCAAAAAATGGAATATGCTTCAGAGCTAAAATCAGAAGAGATTAAATGTGAGAATATGGAATCCTTAATCAGCTCCGGTTCGCAGCCAACATCACCTGGTACATCTCAAACACAGACAAATGAAAACAATGAGAGAATTTACCACTGCTCTGAGTGTGGAAAGAGTTTTAAAGAACAGCGTGATCTCCAACGACACCAGTGCATTCACAGAGGAGAGAAACCGTATCACTGCTCAGACTGTGGGAGAAGTTTTATTCTACAGCATAACCTACAGAAACACCGGTGCATTATTATAGAAGTCCAGCCATATTCCAGAGGAAAAAATAATCTCAAAAATCATCAGAACAGAGAAAAGGAGTTGTACGACTGCTCTGAGTGTGAGAAGAGTTTTACTACACACAATAATCTCCAAGCCCACCAGCGCATTCACACAGGAGAGAAACCATATCGGTGTTCTGAATGTGGGAAAGGTTTTACTAGACAGAGTAGTGTCCAAATACACCGGCGCATTCACACAGGGGAGAAGCCCTATCACTGTTTGGAGTGTGGGAGGAGTTTTACTCGTCAAAATAATCTCCAAACACACCAGCGCATTCACACAGGTGTGAAACCGTATTACTGCTCAGAGTGTGGAAAGAGCTTTAGAGATCCAAGTACTCTCAAGAAACACCAGCGCATTCACACAGGAGAGAAGCCGTATCACTGCTCAGAGTGTGGGACGAATTTTAGTCAGCAGATTCATCTCCACCTACACCAGCGAATTCACACAGGAGAGAAACCACATTACTGCTCAGAGTGCGGGAAGAGCTACAGGCATTCAAGTTCTTTACAGAGACACAAATGCATTAAGACAGAGACAGAATCCCATGAAATTTGTGTGTCAATTTAATAAACAGTTTCATCTGTTTATTTAAGTTAATGTGAATGATGTAAACTGTTTTTTTATATTTATGTTTAAATGAAGGCAGTTGTTAATATTTACAGAAAAAGGGGGAAGAATCGTAGATGCAGGATGGTGTCCACTATCCTACAGTCTCAGGAATTTCTGTACCCTTCTACAGTAGTAATAGACAAAGTAAATAATGGCAGTGGTCACCAACCCTGGTCCTGGAAAGCTACCTTGCTGCGGAGTCTGGTTCCAAACACAATCTGCTATGTCTGCTCCAGCTAATTATCTTCAGAAGTCATGTAGTTAAATGTAGCTTGGAACTAAACTCTGTAGGAAGGTAGATATCCAGGAGGAGGGCTGGTGACCTCTGGGCTATGGATACTTCATGTCTTTCTGGCTCCAAATACACTACATGAACAAAAGCATTGGGACACATACACGTTACATCTACAGGAACTTTTATGACATCCCATCCTAAATCCGTAGGCATTAATATGGAGTAGCCCCCCCCCTTTGCAGCGCTAACATGTTCCACTCTTCTGGGATGCTTCCTACAAGATTTTGTAATCCGTGGGAATTTTTGCCCATTCACCCAGAAGAGCATTTGTGAGGGCCTGGCTTGCAATCTCCATTCTACTTCATGCCAAAGGTGTTTAATGGGGTTGAGTTAATGGGCTAGTCAAGTTCTCCCAAACCAAACTCACCCAGCCAGGCCTTTATGGACCTTGCTTTGTGCACTGGGGCTCAGTCATGCTGGAACAGAAATGGCTCTTCCCCAAACTGTTCCCACAACGTTGGAAGAGTACAATTGTCCAAAATGTCTTGGTCTGCTGAAGCATTAAGCATTAAGGGGCCTAAGCCAACCCCTGAAAAACACCCCCATAGCATTATCCCTCCTCCACCAAACTTAGCACAATGTAGTCAGGTAAGTAACATTTTCCCGGCATTCGCCAAACCCAGACTCATCCATCCTACTGCCTCTTTCCACATAATTAGTTTCCACTGCTCCAGAGTCCAGTGGCGACGCTTTACACCACTCCATCCGACGCTTGGCATTGTGCTTGGTGATGTAAGGCTTGCATGCCATGAAGCTCCCGGCGCACGGTTTTTGTGCTGATGTTGATGCCAGAGGAGGTTTAGAACTCTGCAGTCATTGAGAGTTCTTTTATGCACTATGCATTATGTGCCTCAGCACTCAGCGACCCTGCTTTGTAACTTTACGTGGTCTGACACTTCATGGCTGTGGTTCCTAAATGCTTCCACTTTTCAATGACACCACTCACAGTTGATCATGGAATATCTAGGAGGGAAGAAATTTCATGAACTGACTTGTTACAACAATGGCATCCTATTACAGTACTCTACAGTAGAGCTCTTTAGAACGACCCATTCTTTCACAAATGTTTGTAAAGGCAGATTGCATGGCTAGGTGCTTGATTTTATACACTTGTGACAGGACTGAATGAAACACCTGAACTCAATGAATAAGAGGTGTGTCCCAATACTTTTGTCCATATAGTGTATCTAAAAACATTGTTTTATTCTTTATAAAGCACGGTGATCCTGAGATCTCACCAAACATCTTGTGGCCTCACCGCAAGAGACATTGGTATCAGCAAAGTAGACCAAAAAAGTACATACTGTCTCAGTCTAATATGGTTATGATATCTATAGAGAATTTAGAATTTGTACTTGGAGGACAGTCCATAATACAGCCCTGTTCCAAATAAGCTGTGATTTTGCTATGCAAAATGTAAATACAAATGTAGTGATGTGCAAATCCTTTAAACCCTATATATGAAAATAGTACAAAGCTAACATATAAAATGTTGAAACTGAGAAATTGTATTGTTTTTGGAAAAAATTATGCCCATTTTGAATTTGATGCAAGCAACATGTTTCAAAAAAGTTGGGACAGGGGCAACAAAATGCTGTTAAAGTTGTGTAATGCTAAAAAAAAAACACCTGGTGGAACATGTTATAACTAATTAGGTTAATTGGCAACAGGTCAGTAACATGATTGAGTATAAAAAGATCATCCCAGAGAGTCTTTCAGAAGTAAAGATGGGGAGGGGTTCATCACTCTGTGAAAGACTGCATGGGCAAATAGTGCAATTCAAAAATAACGTTTGTCAATAATGTAGTCAACATTGGCCGAAAACCAATATTGACTGGCCATGATCTTTGAGCCCTCAGGTGACACTACATTAAAAACAGACATGATTCTGTAGAGGAAATCACTGCATGGGCTCAGAAACACTTCTGAAAACCACTGTCTGTTAACACAATTCATCTCTGCATCCATAAATGCAAGTTAAAACTCTACCATGCAAAGATGAAACCATATAGAAACAGGATCCAGAAATGCCACCACCTTCTCAAATTCAAAATGGGCATTTATTTTTCAAATAACATTTCTGACTTTCAACATTTGATGTGTTGTCTTTTTTAGTGGTCTCAATTAAATATAGCGTTTACATAATTTGCACATCATTGCATTCTGTTTTTATTTACATTCTGCACACCATCTCAACGTTTTGGGTAATGGGGTGGTACAAAAGATGTAAGATAAAAAAGATAAAAGATATTACTCATTTTGGAGCAGTTGGAAAAGTTGAGTTGCAGGACAGGGCCAGACATGTACACATTACTTCAATCTCCAAACTCCAAGTACACAGCTGGAGCACCATGACTGGGACTACTAGCAGAGTCTGAGAGTTCTTTATTTCTTAGTACAGCTACAAAAAATCAGTAGAGAGGAAAGGCTGGAACTGAAATAATTATTGATCTTTTTGCAATGTTTTAGTTAAACTGAATGTTTTTCTTTCCCCACACTTTTTCTTCTATTTTAATATGCTGTTTTGTAAATCGCTGATAAAACTTTTCTTGAATAAATCAATTTGAAATCAGGGATTCACTTGTTTTATCAAAGATGTGATGTGGTTTTGGAGTGAATACATAGTTTGGTGTACTATCTAACATTAGCTACCTTTTTTGTTTTTGGCAACTATGAGCGACATTTTGTTTATTGTTGAGTAATTCCACATTTGTTTTTAATTGATTTTAATCAGCTAAGGAACTCACAATGAGATTACATGAGGCGCTTTAAATCTGATATCAACTTTGTTTAGAAAAAAAAAATCTATGGCTCCTATAAGCCACTACACTACCCAACCCAAACTCCATTCACCAGTCATGCTGTCACCAAGTGGGTGAGCATACGTCCTTGTCTTCTAGGATGTTCTCCTTTCAGGACCTAAGAAACACGTCTGACCAGGATTTCTGAATTGTCTAAAATGTCAGAAATTTGACTTGGCTTTCATGTTCTCATTTCCTTTTACAGTCTGCCCAGTGCTGTCCTCCTTTTTGAAAACCAAAATATGGTGTAAGATATGATGTGTTTATTACTTTTAAGGTTAAGAAATCAGTCAGGCAATGAAAGGGAGTGTAATTTTTTAAGGGGCAGCATGTCGATCAGTAGTGGTGATGAATTTCGTGGTGAATTTCTGCATTTATTTAACCAGTAATTTAGTTTTGGCCTAGTTGGCGAGTGTTAAAATGTCACTAATGCTGAAGTAGCACCAAAATTTAGACTCTTTCATCACTTTCTCTTTAAAACCTGCCTGGCACTAACTCCTGATGTTCCACCCACAGCATTTGGTTGACAGGAGTGCCTCACTGACAGTGAAAATCCAACTGTAAACAGGGTTGCAAATACATGTTAATCTGGGCAGGGATAGACTATGACAATGAGGAAATGCAATTGCAAATGGGCAACTGTTATTCCTTTTTTTAAATGTGTCAGATTCAGATCATTACGACAATGAAAATGAAATGTCATTTTAAAAAACAGTGCAGATTAGCAAGCACTTCATGCTGGTCTGTGCTGGCCTGGCCATGCTGATTAACCAGCATCAAAACACAACATACGATGGTTTTGGTGGTGATCAGCATATCAATTTCCATTGCTGCAAACTCATTGTGGTTGATGAAATGAAAGACAGAGATGGCTTAATCAGGGGAAATTTATAAAAGATTTCTACCACTGTTATGCAATAGTTTTCCTGAAGTTTTCACTGGGTTCATTAGACCTTCTGCTGCTTCTACCCTGATAGCAAGAGGATAGTGGACCTCTGTTGGCCCACTGATAGCAAAGCTGGCTGTCCACTGGCGTTTTGCTCAGCGTTTTCTGGGCAGCCCACTGGTATTTAAGCAGAGTAATAGACAAAATTCCACTTATGATCGTTCATTTTCCACTCACAGTCCAATTTACTTATTTTTCCTTAAGTCTTTTCTTTAGTTATACCTTGTAAATTAGTTTAGTAAAGGATTTTAACTTAGCACAGTGTCAGCAACACTTTCTATAAAATAATTTTATATTAGACCTTGGCATTTTTTTTCTCTCAGTTGTCTGTAATATTTATCTTAGTTTATTTTCAAAAATAAAAGGCTAACTGTATTTAAAATCTGTTAGGGGAGACTAAAAACTAGACAGACTGTTTGTGGTGCTCACATCAGGGAAGTGGTTAATTGTGCGATTAGCTGATTAAATTAAATTAAATAAAGATTAATGTCAGAATTTTTTGATGTACGCTTTATGTAATTCGACATACCCCCGGGGGTCTGCACACCACAGTTCAGAAACCACTGTTCTAGACCTTTCTTTTTAACATGTGCAATACCAACAATTTAGAACTACATGCACACATCAGTGGTTCTCAAATCAGTCCTCAGGGCCCCCCAAATGGTCTGCATCGTTGTTCTTTTACTGGAAACTTTTACATTTCCTGCTTTGGCAATCTGGACTTGGATCTTGCAGACCTTGTCATCTTCACAAGTAATGTCCGGATTCTCGTCTGCCCATTTTCTTTGACTCTGTAAGGTAGACAGGTATTGTTCTCTTCACTGCTTCCAGGATGCATCAGCCATGTAACTTGCTTCGGCTGTTTATCATGAAGATTGGTGGTGTCAAATCCCTGAAGTGGCTGTAATGAGGTTTGTCCTTCTCTGTAAGAAGCACTGTTGGTGTAAGGACTTTAGCAATGTCTGGAACAGTAGACACTGGCACCAAAGGCCTGGCATTCATGATTGCCATAACTGCAGCCAATAAAACACTCAGCACCTCATGTGTGTTGCGAGTAGTTTGTGTCTTGATGAGCAAGACATCCAGAATTTGAAGGTACTTCAACCCAACCTTTGAGTGGAATCCTTGCAAATGGCTTGCAGCTCATTAATTTAAAACTTATGTCGAAGAAGTGGGCTTAAGATCAAAACCCAGTGTGCACCTGCCGTAAAACTCATTCCGAACATTCAGGAGAAACACATGAGCCAAGACCTTCTTCCAATCCGCTATGCTGCTGAATCTCCACTGGTTTCTGTGGTTGCTACAGTGACATGACTGGCCAGAGGACTGCTTATGTGAACTGTCAACCAACGGTAGCGTAGGATGCGTGGTTTGTCATAATACAGGTGGGATTAAAAATAACACCCCAGCCCAGGAGGTGGTGCAAATTCTGTAGTCCTCAAACCAACAGAGAAGCAGAAGATCAGCAGTCCACACCTCTGTGCTCACACAGTGCTGTTGGAGGGAGAGGAACAGCAGCTGCTCTGCTGAAAGTAATCTTATACACTTGTTTACATTGTTTATATTCTGTATCATCAACCCGTAGAGAAGTGCTTAGAAAGTAGTCTGCAGAATGTGTTATTTCTGAAAACTATGTCAACAGAAGAACAGCAGTGCATTCTTAAAACATGGTTTGTCAAGGTTTTTTGAGTAATGGGAATGTTCTGTGTAGAACCCTTTCATGCTTAAATGTTTTTTTTGCATGGTGAAATGGTTATTCAGATTGATGGAGAAAGTGTTGTATTTGGTTCTTTATAGAACCTTATTTAAAATGGTTCTATATAGAACCTGATACGACACAATCTACATCAATCTAAAGAACCATTTCTGCCTTCAAAGAACCATTAAAGCATGCAAATGGTTCTTTGAATGTTCATGGTTCTATGTAGAACCACTGTCTTAAAGAACTGTTTTAAGAGTGCAGAGGTCGGCCTTCATCCATTTATTTGGTGTGCAACAAGATCTCACTTGTTTTTCTGTTTTACCAGACCGAGAAGTCTGCAGCTACACCAGCACATTCATACAGGAGAGAAATCACATCACTGCTCAGAGTGCAGGAAGAGCTTCAGCAGACTGAATAATTTCTAAGCACATCAGTGCGTTCACACAGGAGTGAAACCATATCACTGCTCAGAGTGTGGAAAAAGCTTTGGAGAAAAAAGTACTCTTACAAAACACCAGCACATCCACACGGAAGAGAAACCGTATTACTGCTCAGACTGTGGGAAAAGTTTGACACAAATGGATCAAGAAGCAGGCAGAACGCTATGACATCTGTGAATCAATTTAATCTGTTTATCATGAATGACAGTGTGTTTTTTTCATATTCATGTTTAAATGGCTTTCAATGAAGGCAGATGTTTATCATAAAACGTCCTAAAATGTCATTTTTGCCATAAAATGTCTTTTTGTGTGATTTTTGTATGTCTATAAATGTGTGATTATGATTATGTGACTGTAATTATTATGCCTTAATAGCTGCAACTTCTGTCTGTATCTTCAGTTGCATATGGTTTATTTAACTGAGGTGGCACCATATTCCCAAAGTGGGGTGGCAAAGAATTCTGTAATTTATGTAATTGTTTTGTAGTATCATGTCCATGTGAGGAATATTTGCAAGATAAGAAACTAATTATCCTTTCATTTATTTCCAGTCAAACTTACTGTTAAGTGAAAGTTATTTTGTCAAAAACACAGAAAACACACATTTAACAGAAAATTTACCTAGAAGCCTCAACAACTAAATCTAATATCAGATGTCTGAGTGTTCAGTGTGTCACTCTTCACCTTTATTAAAGCTTTTTTTCAGGAGACTCGCTTTCAGTTCCTCAAAGAAATCTGCAGACACACCTCTCTCACAGATGAAAGATTTAAGTGCTGTTTATCTGATGGGGACAGTTTTGGTGTCTACCAGGTCTTCCAGGTGGTTGTTAGGAGTCCCCTTTTTTCTGTAGCTTTGAAACACCTTTCCGCAACTTACTTTCCTTTGACCTTCCCTTTTCTTGTGCAAGTGCATTTCCTCATATCCAGAATATTACTATAACGTAACATAACGTATATTATTGATATAGTTGTACTAACTTGGCCATGTTTCTTTTTCTGTTATTATTGAAAGAATGATGCCCAAAATAGGGATAGGCACCATCCAGGTACAGCTGTAAATGCTAATTTACACCTAATCTAAGATGTTTCTGAGTCTTGTGTTGTTATGTTTTCCAGACTTGCTATTAATACTAAAAAATATTAAATGTTCAGACATGTCCTTTGTCAATGGAATCCAAAATTAGATACAGCCAGGAAGATCTTTGCAGAGAAACCTTTGTATTTTTGTGAGAACTCTGCTTTTAAAGGCTGGGAATATTTCACATTTACTACATCCTGCTCCTTCTTTTTAAGATGATTCTATTGCGTTTAAAGCAGTTCATTACCTTCTTTTTAAATTTGAAAGATGAACTACATGCTTAAAAAGATGGTTCTTCAGTAAAGATAATGGTTAACACTAACAACCATTTGCATATGTATATATATATATATATATATATATATATATATATATATATGGAAGGACCATCACACTATCAAACTAATGAAAGAAGGATAGAGATGGTTTAAGGAGTGAAAAATTAAATAAATATAAACACTTTTTCAGTATCTTGTCATATAGACCTCCAGTTTCTTACCGCTGTGGAGTCTTGGATGGAGGCGTGGTTTGTCCGAATATAGGTGGGATTAAAAAGAGCGCTGCAAGGCTCCGTGATCACGTGGCTGCAGTGTGACGCCCCTGCACTCCAGGAGGTGGCGCAAACTCTGTAACTGTGGTTCTCTAACCAAGAAGAAGAAGATCTGATCAGCGTGTTGACTCTTCCAGGCTTCGCACTGTTAAAGAGGAACAGGAGCTGCATTACTGCAGGTAAGATGTTCTTTACATTCGTAACTTCCTTTTTCATTAGTGAAAAGGCTGAGAAGATGTCTGCAAAATGTACACTGTGCATTTTGGAAAAATACACTCTTTAAAAATGGTTCTTCAAGGGTTATTTAGTAAAGGCAGTGGTTCTATTTAGAACCATGAGTTCTATGTAGAACCATTTCATGCTTAAAGGGTTCTTTGCATGGTAAAATGGTTCTTCAGATTGATGGAGAATGTTGGATATAGTTTGATATGGATATAGAACCTTTTTGAAAATAGTTCTATATGGATCACTGCTGAGTTAATTTTTTTCATTTTCTTTTAAACCATTTTTTTTCATAGATCAACTGAACATTGTATCAAGGTGCAAAATACAGGTGTGGGACCCTCCCAGTTAACCGCTTAAACCCCCTGAATGTCTCAGAATCATTTGACTAGTGAAAGATATCTGGAAATCAAATTATTATTATATTATGCTGTCTGTTAGGGAAAACAGACGCTCAAATACAAATTTAGGGAAAGGTCATTGTTTAGTTGTTTCACCCACAATCAGTGACCTTCTGTCTTTGGCATTTTTAAGTAATTAGAGATGCAGCAAAGGTCTGCCTCATGGTGGTGCTATAGCAAATTGGTTCACCTAGTTGGTGCTTCATAGCCTAGTAACTGTAACTATGCCCAGGAAACCACCACAACAATCTTTTTTTGCCTATTTGTAAATCTGAAAACTTGCCCAGTTTCCCAAGAGACTGGTGGAAACAACTGCTATAGAAGACAAAAGAGATATGTAAGATCTCAATTAATGTCTGGAAAAGCGCATAATCAAACTAGAAAAGAGGATTTCTAGAAGAAGAATTGTTGAGCCACACATTTTGTTGCAATTGAACCATGCGTCAGCACCGCAAGTGAGTTAGCAGCCAGCCAATTTAGGACCCCCCCCCCAGAATACCAGGGGGTATTTCGCACACTGCATTGTGTTTTACATTAAGTTTTGAATATTATTATTTTTTTTCCTTCAGAAATGAACAACCTCCTGGTGTGGATCTTCTCCTCTGTGTGTTCATCTTCACACACTGTTTAAATTTACCTCAGCATACACCCCAGGAGGAGCCACCAAAATGAATACACCATACTGCTGAAATCAGGACAGTATATATGAGAGTATGGCATCCAAAAGAGGCTCTAGTACTCGGCAAATGTCCATAAGTACTCTCCACACTAAGAGAACTCACAAACGAACAAAGAAAACTAAAGACAATGAGAGAATTCACATCTGCTTGGAGTGTGGAAAGAGTTTTAATCAGCTGCGTACTCTCCAACACCACGAGCGCATTCACACTGGAGAGAAGCCTCATCACTGCTCAGACTGTGGAAAGAATTTTATTCAAAAGAGTAGTCTCCAAACACACCAGCGCGTTCACACAGGAGAGAAGCCATTTCTCTGCTCAGAGTGTGGAAAAAGTTTTACTGTGAAGAGGCTTCTCCAACTACACCAGCACATTCACACAGGAGAGAAACCGTATCAGTGCTCAGAGTGTGGAAAGAGTTTTACTCAACAGAGTCATCTGCAAACACACCAGCGCGTTCACACAGGAATCAAACCTTATTACTGCTCGGAATGTGGGAAAAGTTATACTCTACACAGTACTCTCCAAAAACACCAGCGCGTTCACACAGGAGAGAAACCGTATCAGTGCTCAATTTGTGGGAAGAGTTTTAATCAGAAAATTAATCTACAAACCCACCAGCGCATTCACACAGGAGAGAAACCGTATCAGTGCTCAGAGTGTGGGAGAACTTTTAATCAGAAAAGTAATCTACAAACCCACCAGCGCATTCATACAGGAGAGAAGCCATATCGCTGCTCAGAGTGTGGGAAGAGTTTTACTCTACAGGGTAATCTCCTGTCACACCAGCGCATTCACACAGGAGAGAAACCGTTTTACTGCTCAGAATGTGGGAAAAGCTTTACTCTACGGAATTATCTCCGAAAACACCAGCGCAATCACAGAGATACATTGTGTTACTGTTCTGACTGTGGGAAGAGTTTCAAGCATTTGAGTAGTTTACGGAGACACAGATGCATTAAGAAGGAGGCAGAAATCTATAACATTTGTGTGTCAGTTTAAAAAGTATAGTTTTCAGTATCAGTTTTATAGGTTAATATTTATGATACTGCCTGTTTTTGCTAACTTCTAATCAAGAGAGTTAATATTTTAACACAAAAGACTTAAGGCCTCAGCATACTTCTTGTGAAACCAAATTCTCCAGGGCCGAAAACACCTTCGCGAGCTTATGATCTCGCATACTTTCTGCGGTTTCGTGTTGCCTGTCGCGGATGCTCCATGAAGGATGAAGCCAGGCGAACGTCGTCTCCGCAAGAAGTATGCTGAGGCCTTTACTTGTGTGATCTGTACACCTGTTCAATTGTTAATGTGTCTCAATGACTACAAGTTTTAGTTATTTATCTTTAATTCCTTATGATTTATGATTAGTCATGTAATAAAATGGCCAAAATGAAAATGTGATGTTATTCAGGCTGTTGTAATCTGGCATTAAGTCAGGAATGACTGTAACTTTCAAGTTCTTTACATATTTTAGACCAAATACAGCCTAGAAGAGTCAGGCAAGCTTTGGTCCAATGTGAAAAACCAAGCCTGTGTTCAAAATAGCCTACTGCATACTGCTCACATACTGAATGTGCTGTGAAGTGTTATGCAGTATGCAGTATGTGACCACACAGGATTTTTCCAAATTTCCCCAGTACGTCAAAGATACTTGGATGACATTCTGCTCTGGTCAAGACTTATGCAGACAGTATGCAGCTAGAATTCTCTATCTCTGTAATACACTGCATGCAAAAATGCAACATGGTAATTTCAGTAGGACGTTACTACTGATGTAACTAATCTATAATCAATTTAGTAGCCCTTGTGTCAGCCTAGTGTGGATACGTAAATGACATGAAAGAAAATAACTTGCCCTGCTACTGCATTTAGTGCAAGACTGAAGCCAAATTTCTCTGCTGGTGTGAAGTCAAGCTTCTTATTATTCATTCAAACTAGCTCATTTGACCAACTATGAGCGTAATAAAAAAAGAAATGACCACACAGACTAATCCAGAGCTGACACTGTTTGGAAACTGGTAGAAAACAAAACCCTCCACACTATAGCGGTACGGAGTATCTTTTAAAAGTCACTCAGGCACATATCTGGACCAAAATACATCCACACATGCTAGTAAAGAGCTGAAAATGGTTAACAGTGGTTGCTAAGCACTGACTGGAGGGCTAAGGAAAATGGGGAAGGTGTGTTGAGACTGGCCTGACAGTCTTAGTCTTTGATGATGGCAATCTTGTCTCGCCCTTGCCCTGTAGTGAGATACTCATACTGGAGAGTAGCATGTGTGCAATATACAAAACACAATATGCTTTTTTGAACGCAACCCAAGACTTTTTTTGTAATATCAAGATTAGAAAATCAGAAAGTTGCAATCTGTTTCAGATTGTAATCTGTCTTTACGGTCCAAATGCCAGCTCACCCCTGCTGTTCTGGTGGCCATGGAACGCAATGTCCTCCTCCAGTCTTAGATGGGAACATCTTGTTCCCACTCCTCTACATTTCTTCAATAGAACTTTTCAGGTTTATTAAATGGAGGATATTTCCAGGACAGCTGTGTTGTGCATGTTTATGTTTAAACTTTCTGATTATTTACAGAATGTTACACACTCTTGAAGTTCTTATCTAATTTTTCATGTTACTCACTTAATGCTCAGGGATTCTCAATTTAACAAAATATTTTTTTTTGTTTTGCAAAACGTAGAAAGAGATGTTTACCCGTTTAAGTAAAGTCCATCGGTAATGACAACCAACAATTACAGTGCCCTAAGTGGGGTAATAAGATCTTGTTCAGTCATGAAACTAACCATCCAAGGGGTGTCAGTATTTGACTTGGTTAACACTTTGTTGGAAGAGATTTTAATTAAGTCCCAAATTTGCTTGAAGGACCGAGACCCTGCAAGTACAGATGTACACTTTAAAAAAAGATGGATGTTATTATAAGTTTGACATTATAACAACAGAAGTGCTGCTGTATAGAACCACATACAACACATTCTCCATCTGAAGAACGATTTCACCATGCAAAGAACCAATTAAGCATTCAAATGATTCTTTGAGTGTTGATTGTTCTGTGTTCTATATTATCCTAGAAATGGTTCAATACAGAACCATTGTCTTTATTGGAAAACCCTTGAAGAACCACCTTTTGTAAGAGCGTAGTTTGTCCGAATACAGGTGGGATTAAAAATAACGCCTCTTCTCTGCCATGCTCCGTGATAACGTGGGTGTAGTGCGAAGCCCCTGCAGTCCAGGAGGTGGCGCTGATTAGTAAACTGTGATTGTCTAACCAAAAGGAAGAAGATCTGCAGCGTTTCCACCCCTCCAGGTCCTGCATCGCTGGAAATAAACAAGCTGCATTACTGAAGGTAAGGAAACGTTCTTTACTTTGTTGTTATTGTTTTTTTCGTTAAAGAAGAAGCTGAGAAGACGCTGCAAACAGTACATTTAGGGAAAATAGGGAAGAGTGTGAACTAGCAGAGAAGTAAGGGTTAATGCAGTAAAAATGTTTTGCTAATATGGATTGAAAACGATTCATAACAAGCAGGATTTTTTCTTTCTTTTTGCATTAACTGCATATAAAAAACATTTAGGCCATAAATTTAACTACTGAAAAAGCCAGCAACGACCAGAATGCATTTCATGCTGATCTAAACTGGTCTGGGTCAGGTTCTGCTTTAGCTGGTCACGATGGTTGACCAGCATACAAAACACATGTTGTTTTTGCTGGTGACTAGCCATGCTGGTCTGAGATGGTTTTTCTAGTAGGGTTGCCATTACTGACTAAACCTATATGGAACAAACCTATATGTTTTTTGACTTAGATCTAGAAATAGATTCATACTCACATGAAGTGAACACTGTTGAGTTACTCTTTTCTTCATTTTCTCTTTAATCATGTTTTTTTCTATCATAGCCCAAGAGATCACTATGTTTAACATTGTTTTGAATATTGTTTTCTTTTTTTACTCCTTCAGAAATAAATGACCTACCAATGTAGATCTTCTCCTCTACGTGTTTAACTTTACCTTCACAAACATCTAAGGAGGAGCCACCAAAAGGAAATACACCATACTGTTGAAACCAGGAGAGTATGGCATCCAAAAGAAGCTCCAGTGCTCAGCGAACATCCTCCAGTACTCTCCACACCAACATATCTCACAAACAGACAAAGAAAACTAAAAACAATGTGAGAACTCATATCTGCTCAGAGTGTGGAAAGAGTTTTAATCAGCTGTGTAATCTCCAGCAACACCAGCGCATTCACACAGGAGAGAAGCCTTATCGCTGCTCAGAGTGTGGGAAACGTTTTACTCAACAGGGTCATCTCCAAACGCACCAGCGCGTTCACACGGGAGAGAAACCGTATCACTGTTCAGAGTGTGGGAAACGTTTTCCTGTCAAGAGGCTTCTCCAACTACACCAGTACATTCACACAGGAAAGAAGCCATATCAGTGCTCAGAGTGCAGGAAGAGTTTCACTCAGCGGAGTCATTTCCAAACCCACCAGCGCGTTCACACAGGAGAGAAGCCGTATCTCTGTTTAGAGTGTGGGAAAACTTTTACTGCCAAGAAGCTTCTCCAACTACACCAGCACGTTCACACAGGAGAAAAACCATATCACTGTTCAGAATGCGGGAAGAGTTTTACTCAACAGAGCCATCTCCAAAACCACCAGCGCATTCACACAGGAGAGAAACCGTATTACTGCTCTAAATGTGGGAAAAGTTATACTCTACACAGTACTCTCCAAAAACACCAGCGCGTTCACACAGGAGAGAAACCGTATCAGTGCTCAGAATGCGGGAAGAGTTTTAATCAGAAGATTAATCTACAAAAGCACCAGCGCATTCACACAGGAGAGAAACCGTTTCAGTGCTCAGAGTGTGGGAAGAGTTTTAATCAGAAGATTAATCTACAAAAGCACCAGCGCATTCACACAGGAGAGAAACCATATCACTGCTCAGAATGTGGGAAGAGTTTTACTCTACAGAGTAATCTCCAAACCCACCAGCGCATTCACACAGGAGAGAAACCATATAACTGTTCAGAGTGTGGGAAGAGTTTCACTCTACAGAATTATCTCCGAAAACATCAACGCATTCACACAGGACAGAAACCGTTTAACTGTTCACAGTGTGGGAAGAGTTTCACTCTACAGAATTATCTCCAAAAACACCAGCGTGTTCACACAGGAGAGACAGTGTGTTACTGTTCTGACTGCGAGAAGAGTTTCAAGCATTTGACAAGTTTACGGAGACACAAATGCATTAAGAAGGAGGCAGAAACCTGACACTTGTGTGTCAGTTTAATAAACATAGTTTTTAGTGTGTTTTTTTAAATGAACATGTATAATGTTACATTTAATTTTTCATATTTATGTTCTAACCTCTAATGAAGCCAATTAATATTGTAAGATAAAACATCCTGATTTGTACACATACATAACTGTTAACAACCCTAATTTTTAAGGTTTTCATTTTTACTGCTGTATCTTTAGCTCTTTATGAGTTCAAATTAAAGCATGTTACAGAGGTGGTCAAAGTGTTGGTGGTAAATGTGATGTAATTCAGGCTAATCAAATCAGTATCAAGTCAGGATTGACCGTGGGGAATACTTTTAAGATACCTCCTGGATATCAGGACACAGGTTATGGGTTAAATATACCCTAGAAGAGCAAAACTAGCTTTTGTGAAAAGCGTAAGACCAAGAATTCTTGTACAGCACTCATCTACACTTCACAAGGCACAGTGACCCTGTGGTCTCATCAGCCATCTTGAGGCAACGCTGTAAAAGTAGGATCACTTTGTTGTAGGGGAAAAAGGGACAGGCATGAACAGTTTACTTCACTCTCCAAAAACCAAGGAGGCAGACTAAACAGTGTGGCTAAAATAACGAGCTGAGTCTAGTCTTTATTGTAGCTAACGCTGTGTCTGATCCACTCGCACCAGCACAACACACACTAACACACCTCCACTACGTCAGTGTTACTGCAGTGCTGAGAATGATCCACCACCCAAATAGTACCTGCTCTGTGAGGGTCCATGGGGGTCCTGACCACTGAAGAACAGGGTAAAAGGGGGCTAACAAAGTATGCAGAGAAACAGATGGACTACAGTCTGTATTTGTAGAACTACAAAGTGCACCTATATAGTAAGTGGAGCTGATAAAATAGACAATGAGCGTAGAAACAAAGAAGTGGTCATAATGTTATGCCTAATCGGTCTACGTGCATACATGAGATCAAGCCAACTGTGATACACTGTTTGGCAATTTTACTTGATAAACAGCTACATTTTCTGATTCTGTATGCGATAATTACTATGAGTACTAAAGTATTTTTTTCACAGTCAACAAATACAAAACTGGATAAACTGCTGTTTTGCTAATGATTTAAAATATATGGTTTTTCCTATATTATGTTAAACATGGGCCCTTGCTGGGATGTGCATTGGATCCCACTTCAGCTTGTAAACCGACTCAGTTTGTAAACCCACCTATGGTGTGAGTAAGACATAAGCTATACAGACACTTTTAACTGTTTCCATCATGAGCTTATGTATGTATATTATGATCGTATAGCTTTGCTTTGCATACATGGATTTTCACCAGTGCAGAATCCCTTGAACAAAACAAAAAGCGAAAACATTCAGAGTAGTCTAGTGATCAGACTGTTTATGGTGCACCACAATTATTAACATTTTAAAATTAGAAAAATTGCACGAAAGCAAATACACAAAACAATAATGTTTTGGTCTACTGTAGATGAATCTCCTACAACACCTAGTAACTACACAAGTTAAAACAAGCAGTTTTTTTACCAAAAAATTAGAAGCAAGGGCTTCAAATTTGTAGTAACTTCTTTTCAAATAGTTTGAAGTAATTTGTTTTTCAAAGATCTAACCGAAATACTGGATAGTGACAATTATTCAGTGACAATAATAATAACAAAACATTAATCAAAACTTGTCCACCTCCTGATGTCTGAGGAAAGAGGAAATATATTCAGCTATAATTTATTTCTTTAACTGATTTCCAGTTTCAGTTTTTGTGTCAAACTGTACAACAAACCCCTTTACCTGACAATCTGGAATAACACCACAATCAGCATTTCCATCAGATCCCTCTGTAGACCGAAAGAGCTCTGTCACTTTGGAAGTTGTTCCTCTGTAAGCAGTCACAGAACTCCAATAACAGCTTGTCTGCGATGGATGAGTTTTACTCTAGAAACTGAATAATGAGGCAAGAACTCCACAACTGCAACATCTGTAGGAGTACAAGAACAAGAATGTTTTTGTTCTAACAAACATTAATAAACCCATAATCAAAATGCAACTACTTAAAAGTCTAAATAATGTAAAGCACTCCTGATAGTGGACCCTCATATGAACCAAGAAATATTGCCTCAGTTTAACAACCACAGCACCCGCTTTACACTGCTGTCACAAGACAACGCGCTAGCAAGCTAATGTGCTAACTGCGCGCTGTAACATTGCTGCTAAATGCGCTGTATCATGATGGTTAAATACTTGAAAAGCACAGGCTATTCCATTTAAATGCTCAGAGTAGTTAGCTACCGTTAGCACTTTAGCTTGGAGCTAGTGCGTTAGCTCTGAGCTAACGCACTAACCGCGAGATAACATTGGCTAACTACTCTGAACATTTAAAAGGAATAACTTAACATTGTTGAAAACGAATTAGCAAATTAAGGGTAACGTAACCAAACCTTGAACTAACAACCATTTCACTTTTAACCTATCAAGCCTGTGCTTTTCATGTGTTATGCCGTAATGGCATTGTTAGCTATAGTTATAACTTTAGTTTTCCGTACTGGAACCTTATAATTTGAAATAGTTAAGCTCACTAAACTAAACTTCACATCACAAATCATGTTAACGTTAAAGTAAGTGTGCTTTTTAAAATATATTATTTACCTTCTTAATGCCCTCTTCCATTTGTCTTCTCTTCAAACCTGGCTGCTGGCTTGTTCATTTGAAAATAATGAACTTGGGTGAGAAAATTCGGGGTTTTAATCCTTAAACGACGAGCGTTGGTTGTTTCTGTCACATCAGTAATGGGTAACTTGTGACATGCCAGACTTGGGCCAAAAGTACTGAGGCGCAAATCAACCGAGCACCGATATGCCACAGCATAAACATGTGGTCCTCCTCCTTCATCCCCACTTTTGGACCACAACATTCAAGCCATTGAATTGGCCCTTCGACATAAATATGACTCAAAACCTTACACAGCTGTCCAGCATCTGGCTCAATTCTGGCCCACATACCTAATATCTATGCAGAAGTCAACCAACACCTGCAGATGTAAGGCAGAATTGGCCCAGAACAATCTGCTGCCTGCGTTTTTTGACAGAATACTTAAAGAAATTTCAAAAGTTAAGTTAAAATGTTTAGCATTGTGACGATTTTAACCTTAAGCAATAACCTTAAGCAATACTTCAACTTAAGGGGTTTTATGCAACCAGGCACTGTAGTTACACAATGTAGTTAGCTGCTGCACCATTTAAGGTGGAATGGAAAATGTACATGTGTAATGTTAAGTGATGAATAGGAAACTAACTTTAGCCAGTACAATACAAAATATAAAGTCATGTTTTTTATCACTACAAACTACGTTTGTCTCTTTCAGTTAAAGAACAAGTTAAATCCTTTACTTATCAGTTGGACAATTTAGCTAGCAAAAGCTAACGAAGCTAGCTACAAAATAAATAAAAACTCACCACACAGTTTTCCTTGTGTTTTCCAGGTGTTTCTCATTTAAATCGTCACACAGACGACAGTTATTTATAATAATACTTTAATTCAGCTCATTAGTGAGATATTTAGTGGTTTTAACCCCCCTCTCTTTTCCCCTCAGCTTCTGTCTCCTCAGGTTAGCGGTTAGCTCGCTGTGTTTTTAAACTCGCTCTTTTTCCCCTCAGCTTAGCGGTTAGCTCGGTGTGTTTTGTTAGCGGCTAGCTTGCTGCGTTTTTACACTCGCTCGTTACCTCAGCTTCTCTCTCCTCAGGTTAGCTCGCTGTATTTTTACGCTCGTTCTCTTTTTCCCTCAGCTCTCCTCAGGTTAGCGGTTAGCTTACTGTTTATTTTAAGCTCGTTCTCTTTTTCCTCAGTTTCCATCTCCTCAGGTTAGCGGTTAGCTCGATGTATTTTTACACTCGTTCTCTTTTTCCTCAGTTTCTCTCTCCTCAGGTTAGCGGTTAGCTCACTGTATTTTTACACTCGTTCTCTTTTTCCTCAGCTTCTCTCTCCTCAGGATAGCGGTTAGCTTACTGTGTATTTTAAACTCGTTCTCTTTTCCCCTCCGCTTGTCTCTCCTCAGGTTAGCAGTTAGCTCGCTGTGTTTTAAAACACGCTCTTTTCCCCCTCAGCTTCTCTCTCCTCAGGTTAGCGCTTAGCTCACTGTTTATTTTAAGCTCGTTCTCTTCTTCCTCAGGTTAGCGGTTAGCTCACTGTATTTTTACACTCGTTCTCTTTTTCCTCAGTTTCTCTCTCCTCAGGTTAGCAGTTAGCTCACTGTTCAGCTACAAACATCATTTATTTTAAATCGCCTAAGAGGGGCAGGCATCATTTAATGACTATAGTTATCATATTAGGATTATTAGTCTTTTAATTTTTGGAAATATTATAGAATGATTAATAAATAACAATATATAAGGAATACAAATATATAATTGATATTATTTTGTCTTCTGTATATATTTGTTTTTCATTTATTATTATTGTTTTAATTTAATTGTATTATTGTTTCAAATTTTTATTCGTAGCACAATTCCACTGTATTCTGTGGTTGCTACGGTCACGCAAAGGTCACCTGGATAGTAATTCCACCTTATAATTAATTTAAAATACTATTTCAGACGTATTATATAAGTTCATTATTTATATGTGTGTGTGTAAATAAATTTTATTTATATATATATATATGTATGTTTATTGGACATTGTCTCTTGTTTTTGCAAGGATAGGATCAAAATTGCCTGTGCCATGCAGTTGCTGGTAACAGAATCCTCCTAATTACAGAGATAATAATAGTGATAATTATAATATCAACACTTTTTTAGTGAATTTCAGATAGTCCCTAACTCTGAAGCAGGATTGTTGAGGTTTAAACTTTGCCAAATAAAAGAGCATAATATCACAGTCCAGTGCAAGTTGTAGTTTGTCATCTTTGTTTTGGCCACAA